ACGGGACTTCAAGTTCCTAAAGGGGGAGTCATGATACGGGTGTATTTCCTCTTTGGAACTTAGCGATCCTCATGAGAGCTTAAGGATAGATGATTCTCATAGTAACTTAAGAATAGAGGTGTAAAATAATACAATGAAACACAGGTCGAAGCGTGGAATGAGACGACGAATCGAAGAATCAAAACGTCCAGTTTTCAGCTCGTGAGTCGACTCATACATGCACATGAGTTGACTCATTAGGTTGAGTCGACTCATGCCTGTCATGAGTCAACTCATGAAGCCCAGCCGTTTGTCAGATGTTTCTGACCAGTCGACTCATGACTGTCATGAGTCGACTCACAAACCCCAGCCGTTTTGTCAAAAGTTTATGACTAGTCGACTCATGACTGTCATGAGTCGACCCATACGTCATTAGTCGACTCATATGCACATGAGTCGACTCATCGATGGTTTCCTGGTTCGTTTGGGTTTCTGCTTACACGAATTCCTGTGGGGTTTGGGCTTCGTTATTTACCACTTTGTCATCCACGTTGTTACACATATATAAGGGATTGTTTTAGGGTTTTAAAGGAATCAAGAGAGATTAGATTATATTTGAGAATTGAAAGAGATTGTTCTTCAATTCTAGTGAGATTGTGAGAGATTGTAAACTATTTTTCTCATAATCTAGAGAAGGAATTTTCCTTCGTCATCACTGAATTATCCTTGTGTTCTTGTTATTTTCTTCTCAACCACCTTTGATAATTCTGCGATCAAAGATGCTCGCACGACGGCTCGTATCAGGTAGGATTCACAACAAAGAGAGAAGTTGAACTGAAATTTGAGGTTGAGGTTGATGAAGGTGGAGTAGGCGGAGATGGTCAGGTAGGGGTTAAGGTGAAGGAGGGTCACCAATGGGTAGACAATGGTGGAAGTTAAAGAGGCGCAAACCAGTAATCTAGGGTTTTTTCTTCTTTTCTTCATATTTTAGTTGGAACTAGAGAGGGATAAGAGAAAATAAGCAGGGAATTATTTTTAAGGATCAGGTTCGGGTACAAAAAGTATACCTATTTAAAAAGTTATTAGCGCTTAGTAGTAAGGCTGGACATGGACCGGTTCGAACCGCGAGCTAAACCGACCCAGTCCGGTTTGGGTCAAAACCTAACCTGGCCCACACCGGGCCAAGCCCAACCCGACCCACATTAGAGGGCCATGGGTCGAGCTGGGTTTTGCGCCAGTCCCAAGACCAAAGAGGCAGATCCGACCTACAAGCCCGGCTAAACAGTGGCCCGGCCCAACCAAGACCAATCCGGGTTGATTATGAATGACCTATAAGCCCAGCGCACCAGTGGCCTAGCCCGACCAAGACCGACCCAGATTGATTATGAATGTTTAATTTTTTTTAACATTAAACAGTTAAAAAATTTTCTTTTTTTCTCTTGCATTTGTGATTTTTATTTAAACTAAAGGAAAGTTATTTAACTTCTCGTGGATGTAGGTCTTCTTTTGAAGTACAAACCATGTATATCTGTGTTGGCGATACTTTTGTGTGATGTTTATCTTTGTGCAACATATA